ATAGCAGATTAAATAATTTGCTAATCACTACAAACAAAAAAAAGTTATATAAATCACGATAAAATACAACAAATAATCTAAATATTAGACAATAAAAATTCAATTGAACTTTCAAAAATTGAGGCATGTGTGAACACAGTTTCCTTAAAATATATTCGTCCCTACATCGTAGGTGCTTGAGATTTAATTTGAGCATCTGTTTCCTAGGATACAACAGTAAATCAGCAGAGCTCGAACACTGCAGATTCTACTCCGGTGAACTGACTTAGTATCTGAACAATATCACCACCAAGATCTTAACGGACAGTAAATTATATATGCATACGGAGGATAATTTCATATACAGATATCGATTTTTTGTGTGTTTCGAAATTGCAATGCAGACAATGTATTCTTCACGCCTGGAATAGTGAAAAAAAAGAGGCTTATATAGACTTAACCCCAGTAATGACGAGTTAAATCTGTCCATTAACTCCATGCAAATATTGGAGTTTCAACAGTTTCAAACGTTAATAGCAATAATCATAGGAGTTTTAGCAGTTTCAGAAACCAAAAGTCAGTTGTCGAAAGCAAAAAAATTGGCAAAACGTAGGCCCTCCTAAGGAGCCAATTTTTGGTCAATTCAGTCCGACATTCGTGTATGCAGGTCTCGTNAGTTTCAGAAACCAAAAGTCAGTTGTTGAAAGCATAAAAAAATTGGCAAAATGTAGGCCTTCCTAAGGAGCCAATTTTTAGTCAATTCGGTCAGACATTCGTGTACGCAGGTCGCTCCTCACACAAGTTCAAGATCCAAAACCTATTTCGACCCATAATTTATACCTCCCTGCGTGTGCACGTGGAGAGAGTATCTATGCTACAAATGATTATACACTTCCAAAGTGTAGCCATATATACACAGTGGTTCTTGATTTTATAAACTTCTTATGTAGAATAAACTTAAATTTCGTTTTCCCTCCATCATAAACCATATTCCAATGGTCCACTTAGAATTCCAATTTCTCATTCACCTGAGCTACATTTTTGGCAAGTAAATACATGATTTCGATGTTCTCGCTGAGAATACAAATCAATGTTGATCTTCCAAAATAAGCAAACGAGTCCAACTCAAAATTTATGCCAACGTCAGCCATTTACCTCATTTTTTTTCAACATTCCCCCACATGAATGAAAATTGGGAAAGACACAAAACGTGAAACAAATACTTGATGACAAAGTTCAATGGTTGAAACCTTCATAGGATAGGTAGGTATTACCCTTTAAACATTCCTTTGTGAAGGTATGCTTACTTTACTAGCTGACCAGTAGACGCGCTGTCTTTGAATTGTTCTGCTGTTTATGTAAATGATGATATGTTCCATCCATGATTCTTTCTAACACAATTCAGTTCTCATTATCATGTTCTTTTTTGCCATAAACATATGCCTGGTTCT